GCTTTAAACTGTTCTGTGCTTGGAAAAATATAAATTGCAATGTTAAAAATCTAAAAAAAAAACTTGACAGGTAAAAAAACTTAAGATAAATCACAAGACAGAAGTCAATGTCACAAATGAATAACTTTTATTTTAGAGTCACGGTATGTTTATACAAGATAATACTATTAATATAATGTGACTTTTCTAGAGAATCATTATACATAGTTATTTTATACAGGGTTTCCACAGTCTTACATAATTTCAGAATTCCCTGGCTTTTAACTGTCTCTGTGAAAGCAGAGGGTGCCAGTGGTGCCAGTACGGCTCCTGCACAGTATTGAGCTGTGAGTACAACCCCAATCTGTGGACATCAGGCACTCATACCAACCTCGTGGAGTCGGTTTCTACCCATTTCTGTGAGGACATGCACATTTGTGGCCTTCGTAAAGTTATTTTGCAGGGCTCTGGCAGTGCTCCTCCTGTTCCTCCTTCCCAGCCCTGCTGCTGGGTTCTTGCCCTCATACAGCCTCCTCCACATCTACTGATATACTGGCCTGTCTCCCGGTAGCACCTCCAGTCTCTGGACACTATGCTAACAGACACAGCAAACCTTCTTGCCACAGCTCACATTGATGTGCTATCCAGGATGAACTGCACTACTTAAGCCACCTCTATGGGTCTAGACTCAATCTCATGCTACCATGAATGTAAAAGCAACATAATCATTCAAAAGTGACCAAAACATCAACCAGAAAGCCTATGTACTGAGAAGTGGTCTCAAGTGGACAGTTTGAGTTTACAGAAGTCTGATTTGTTTGTAAGAGACTAGTAACAGTTGACATTTCTCGACAATTTTTTCCACATTTCTTTTAAGTTAAATACACCAAACAACACATATGGAGCGAGAGATTTACATGTTATCCCTATATAATGGCACAATCGAGAGTGAATTAATGGTTGCCGATGGGAAGAACATTTTGCAGCGATGCAAATGGTGCAGACTGGGAAAATAGAATGAAGCAAAACTGCAAATAGTTGGGTGGGCATGTGATGGAATAAAGCTGGATTTCTTGAGAAAGAAAACATTTGAACTAATTTGCCTGTATGATCTGATTGAACTGTCTCTATAAAGAGCCCAGAGACGATAATTTAGCGCTATATAAACAAACTGGCATTCAGGGTTTCCCCAGAGAACTAGGGTAAACGGTGATTGGTTTAGCCCATGGGTGGCCCACAGTAGTTTTATTCAAAAAATGTAAAAGTAGATAGGAAACTTTCAAAACTAACAATAGTGTTTTAGTATATTTTGTTGTTAATGCTACATTCTAGCTCGCTGTGCCTCATATAGATGCAGCTAGCTCATGCTCTCTGGTTGATCCCCCAATGCTCCTATGACTTTGGAAAAAGAAAGTGTGCAACTCTTCGTTTTTGACTTTTCATGTTATTTTCAAAACTTATTATCAACAGGTGGAGAGTTGTTATTGACCATAAGGTGTTGCCACTGTGCCTTTAACCATGTAACCATGCTTTTAACAGAGAGAATACCCTGTGCATCACTATACCACTTTAGTAATGACTATGCCATCCATACCTTTATATAACTGCCTTACTTTTTCTCTTCCTAGACCCTTATGAGGACCATTCAGGCTCTCTGCGACTCATCACCATTAAACCCATGACAGCCCAGCCCACCTACTCGTATCCCTCCTCCTCCTCACACAGCCAGGACTCCGTGGTTGTGAACGGAGAGGTGAGTTTGGAAAAGGTAAAGCTAAACATAACCGCACATATTGAAGGGAAGGGCAGCAGTAACTAGTTTGATTGATAGATTTAAAGCAGATTTCTTATGATATGGATGTTGAGTCTCATGCCATACTTCAAAGGTGAAGGATATAGTCTTGTAATATATGGGTGTGTTACACAATCATTGATGTTGGATCACATCCAGTGTTAAATTCATTCAAATTTACAGGAACGGTGTCTAATATAAAACATTTTCACTTCAGTAGTTTATTATCCCATCCTCCCACCTTGTAATCACCACATCCCCTCTGGGACATATTGTGCAGTTACTGAATTTAGCTGTTGTTGGAGTAAACAGATAATCTCTCAGCCCATTTGTCAAGGCTCACTCTTATTCTGCCTCTGTCTCTGTGCATTTCTCAAGCAGAGACTGCCATAAATTATTCCTTAACCTACATAACATAATACCAGGAACAACCCGAGGGGTTTCTTTGCTCTACCAATTTATAGGTGCCATTCTAAGAGGAAAAAATATGTTTAAGACATACATACTCTCTGAATATTGGTGTTGTGAGACAAAAAAAACATTTTAAATTTATCAAAAAATATTCTCTCTATGATAAACTGATGTTTTTACTTATTATTTGTTCATTTGAAGGCAAATCACGTTGGGCTGAAGCAGAAGTCAGACATTGAGCACTACAGAAACAAACTGCGTCAGAAGGCTCGAAGGAAAGGGTACGGAGAGTTCTCACTGTCGGAGAGTCTCAACCACGGCTACAGTCACCGTGACAGCAGGCACAACCGGCACGATGCAGCCATCAAGCAGCCCATGACGGCTGAGGAGAAGAGGGCCTCTTTTGCAGGATGTCATAAGAGGTAATGAGCTGACTTTGTCTTGACAACGTCTCTGTTATGTATTTAAATTCTGTTGTGACTTCCTGCTATTTAATCAAATTAATTTCAGACTGTCTATGCGTTGTTCTGCAAATATACGCCCACCTGATCGTGTGTTAGGATAATAAATAAAAGTGTGATCTGAGCTCAAATCAATGGTCAAACAGCTAAATCTGTACACATAAGGAATACATTTACAACTGTCATTCAAAATATAATAATTTATTAACAAAAATTATTCAACTCCAAGTCAAACATATTCAAGGTAAAAACTTTTCACTGAAATTGTGAAATTTAACAAACAGAAATTAAGCGGAAATAGTTGAAAACTATTATCAATAAAATGATTAGAGCTTCAACTAACGATTATTTCGCAACTTGATTAATCTGTTGATTATTTTTAGGATTAATCAATTAATAATCGGATATCAAAAGGTTTCTTAAAGAAGGTTTTTTACAGAATGAAACCAATTTACAGAAACTTTTCCACTTGTGGAGTTCAGGATAGAGCGTATTGACAGACGAAAAATATTTTTCTATCTTAAATCCAAAATATTGATATATATTTTTAAAGTTTTCTTATAATTACTTCCCTGAGTGGGTTTGCTCTGTTAGCTAAAGGTATGTTTTCGTTTCTATACTCCAGCCTGTGTTGTTTTCGTCAACGATGACGAAACTATTTCAACTCTCCTTTTTTTCATGATGATAACGAAAACTGACGAGCTAAAGATGGATCTTTGATGATGAAAACATAACGACTAATGGGTGTGAGTTTTCATCGACGAGACTAAATAACAATGTTAGTGGGCAGTCTGTCAGACTTTTAAAATGCATCATTGTGCTGTAATCTGTTAGACAAGTTAAGTAGTATCAGCCATGCTGCTACATTTTATTTGGTCACACCCAACAGCTGGCGTGCAGCCGTGTACATTCTGCATGACCACAGATGGATCATGGCAGCTGCGGCAGGGAACAAAATAACTCAGATTCGTCCAGTATGCTACATTAGCAAACATGATTTATCATGCTAAACAAAGGCATTATGCACACATTTATTATAATGCTAGTTTATCTATAAAGCTACCAGCAGTAGGCTACTTTCCAACAGTTAAATATATATAAGTACACAAGAACATACTTGTTTATTATATTTTGCTCTCGCTAACATTAGTCTATGTGTTATCAGCAGGTTAATTATTAATATAAGCTTGTTGAAATTAGAATTTTCACTGTCACTTTTGGTTTGCATAACTGAAAATATAAGTTTTAGGGCTTTTTCGTTTCTACCAAAAAGTGGTTCAGAGCTGTGATCCTGTCATCTGTAAATATCTGTAAACAGGTACTCCCATCCAAGAGAGCCAACATACTGGAGCCGTCAGTCTCTGAGCAGCCCCAGCCCAGTAGAGACTGAAATGGACCTGCTGGTTCTGAGGGAGAGATCCAGGAGGGGCATCCGGAATAACGGCTATGATGTGAGTATAGGGACAGGGTCTATCCTCTGAAGCAGCTCTGCACACGTTCAGTTCTGGTGAGGAGTTTTCATTCTGTAATTATAAAATTTAACGTCATATTTTTTTTTTTTTGTTTTTGTAATTGTTTTAGCTGTTTTTTTTGTTAGGTTTTTTTTTTTTTTACATGGGTGGTTATTCTTTCTTTTAATTCATTTATTCATTGAAAGAAAATACAACATAATCAAAACCTGTACAGGTGACAACTCAAATCAAGCACAGAAAAGAGCACAAAGAATTAAAAACTTATATTATCTGCCCATGTTTTTAATAGTTTTAATTATTCAACTCTGGATACAGATAATTACAATCATAGAGAAAAAAAAAAAAAACATGTCCACAAATACACAGAAAACAGTAATAAAAACCAACAATACATCCGCCTATCCTCTGTCATATCATATCAAGTTTCTTTTAAACATAATTTAAAATAAGTTTCTGATTGATTTTAAACACTGATAAGCTTGTTCCACAGATAAACACCTTTATCATAAATACATATTTCCATCATTGTTGTTCTACACCTGAATTTTTTTTTTTAAATCTGTTCCTTTTAAGTCTAAGTTAAGTATGGATATCCACCATATAGAAAATATATTTTGAATATTGTTTGGTAGAAATTCTTTTGTGAATTATACATTTCTTTTAAAATGCTACAATCTATCAATTCATAAACTTTCAATGTATTTACATTTGTGCTTGAAAGTGTACATACCCTCCTATTAAACTAAAAGTTTTTATCTACACAGAAACGGATAAAAACCTTTCATTAAACCAAACATTACCTGCCACGTATCTGACTCCAGAACAATTTAAAACGACTATTTTTATTAATTTCTGACGGAACTATTTAAATACTTGTATTATATTAAACTACACTTACAATATTTACCTCTCTTCAGCACCCTTTCCCTTTTTCCTCTGAGCACGGGGCAGCCGGCTTGCCTGTACTCACAATGAATCATGGTGTACCCAAGGCTGCGAAGGATACACTGGACCTGTCCTTCAAAACAGGCAAAAATGAGGGCTGCACTTATCAGCCACATAAAGAACAGGCCACAGCGCCGGGCTATGACGTAATTGGCTGAACAATCTGGACTTTGGAGGATGCAGCTGTTGAATTTGGACTCCATTGTGTGCTGGGTTGCCCCCAGGGCCTCGCCTTGGTGGGACATGCCTGGAACCACACCAGAGGGAGGTGTCATGGGGACATCTAAGAAAGACATCTAGTCTGAGCCTCCCATGAATGACCCTACCTCTACGGGAGAGCCCTGCCACCCTGAGGAGAGAGCTGATTTCAGCCGCTTTGATCCAGGATCTCGTACTTTTGGAAATGATCCAGATCCAGATCACCATAAGTGATGGTGGAAACGTAGACCAAACAGTAAATCAAGAGCTTTACCTTTTGGCTCAGCTATGTGTAAAGCTGCAGGTGCAGTGTCCACTTTACAAGTAAAAAAGGACCCCAAGATACTTGACCTAGATACTCCGACCTGAAGAACGCAGGCCACCTTTTTCTGTTTGTCAATATTCAGCCAGAGTTTAGGCAAAAGCTGGTCAATGCCTTCAAAATTATGAGTAAATGAGAATTAAGAGATTAAGTTCTTCATATTTTATAAGGGTTTGAAAAGATTTGATGACAAAGCACATTAGCTGTCAGCAAAGTACCCCAAGAGGAAAAGGCAGAGATTGCTTTCAGTCTCTTGCTGCATTTTGTCCATTCCAGTCTACAGACACATTTCTTAGCACATGGAGAGCAATCTGTGTGGAGCGTCTTGCTCAAAGAGTCAGAGCAGCAGTCTTGAGTTTCCATCTGGTGCCTGTTGCAGTGGCCACACGACCCAAACTTCCTGCTCTCTAACCACGAGGTCATTACTTCCAAATGTGGGTTTATAGATTATAATTCAGGCTTTTCATTGACAAATGTCACAGACCACTTGTAACTGCCCCCCTAAAGAGGTAAAAGCTGATTTTTCTTTTCAGCCCCATGAATTCAAAAAATTTTTTTCTTTTTCACTTTATCCTTGTTTTGAAAATTATTGAAGTTGGTTGCTGTATAACCAACGTATTAAAAAAATAACAGTAAAAAATTAGTTTGTGGAAAAGGCCAGAAAACTCTTACAGGCTACGTTCACACTGCAGCCTGAAGTGACCCAATTCCGATTT